AGCATTGATAATGATGGCTGTGCTGGTGGGGGTAAGAAATGAACAGAGACAGCTGATGTTTCAAAGATGAAAATATGCAGACTGAGTAATGTTATTGACATGAGATTCAAAAGATAAAGTGCTATCAAGGATGACACCCAGACTCTTAGCAGTAGGGGAGGGAGAAACTGTGGAATCATCAACTTTAATTGTGAATATTTTACATTTGGATAAGGTAGACTTGGTGTCAAGGAGGAATTCTGTTTTCTATGACGTCAGCTTAAGAATGTTTTGATTAACCATAATTTGATTTCATAGAGGCAGTCCGAAAGGAAGGATGGTGCAAGGATGGTGTTGGGCTTGGTGGAGAAGTAGAGCTGGGTGTCATTCGCATAGCAGTGAAAATTAATACCAATTTTTTTTAAGATAAGGCCATGTGGAAGAAGATAAGTGATAAACAGGAGAGGACCAAGAACAGAACGCTGAGGTACTCCTGAAATAACTGTGGAGGACTGTGACTTCAAGTTCTTAAGTTGGACAAAGTGCTGACGGTCAGAGAGATAATAAGATTGAAACCAATTTATAGCAATGCCAGAAAAGCCAATGGAACGTAATCTATCAAGAAGAATATTGTGCAAAATGGAATCAAATGCTGCACTCAGGTCCAGGAGAATGAGAACTGATAAAAGTCCAGAGTCAGCAGCAACCAGAGTCAGAGTCAGAGTCAGAGTCAGAGTTTCTTTATTGTCATTCGCACCTCATGTGGTACATGTGGTGGAGCGAAATTATGTACACAAGGTCCCAGTTACATCCAACAATAAAATGTATAAGAAAAACAGTAATAACATCTAAGATATGAACTAAGAAAAACATCAACTAAATATACACTAAGCACTCATAACATAAAACATTGAACATCAGCACAAACATGAACATGAGTCTGTGAGCAGATGTGCACGCATGAACACATCAACATTGAAACAGATCAGCAGCAACATGAAACAGATCAGCAGCAACATGATATGGTTTTTCACAGTGATTATTCTAGTTAGAGATTCATGAGTCTAACAGCCTCAGGGTAGAAGCTGTTCCTCAGTCTAGTGGTTCTACACTTAATGCTCCTTAACCTCCTTCCTGAGGGGAGTGGGGCAAAAATTGTGTGTGCTGGGTGGGTGGGGTCCTTCATGATGCAGGTGGCCCTCTTCCTGCATCTGGAGGTGTAGATGTCTGTGATGGTGGGGAGACTGATTCCAACAGATTTCTGTGCAGCCTTCACCACTCTCTGCAAAGCTTTTCTTTCTGCAGCTGTGCAGCCTCCATGCCACACATTGATGCTCGAGCACAGGATGCTCTCCACTGCACACCTGTAGAAGGAGGTGAGGACTGAGCTTCCCAGACCAGCTCGCCTCAGCCGTCTGAGGAAGTAGAGTCTCTGATGAGCTTTCTTGATCAGGCTGGTGGTGTTGTTGCTCCAGCTGAGGTTGTCATTCATGTGTACACCCAAGTACTTGTAGCTGGAGACCACTTCCACCGCAGATCCTCTTATGTTCAGGGGGGTGTAG